TTAATATTATACATTTCCAGCCGATGTGGTTTTAGATTTTTTGCCGAAAGAGATTTCCACTCTGTCATCACGCTTCATCGGGTTGAACAGGTATCGCACGGTTGACCAAAGCTTGCTCACACCAGAGCAGAAGTTACAGGTCTTCAGATGCTCTTCCCACTTTTTCCGCTTATGTACGTTCACAAGTTGCCGATCCTCCGTGTTGGGATCCATGATCCGGGATCGGCCTGCAAACGGCTTCACTCGTGTTCCTTAGGTGTTATTTAAATTGTTGCATAAAATGCGTTTTTTGGCATATCTAACAATGTACATTTTATACACTTTTTCCATATATTTTGCATATTCAACTTGAATAAAAATCCGAGCAAAATAACATACATATATGTACATATTCACATTCATATAAGCTTCTGTATGAGTGTATACTCATCTAAGTGGCACTATGGTAATAAATGTAAATAAATAATTTATTGTAAGTTTGTTTCATATTTATATATGTGCGTGTGCTTTTCGCTCTACACTTGCATGGCGGGTAGTTTGTCTGTTCTATAATTGATAGTAAATTTAATTTATGCGGTGTGCAATATTTATGTGCGAGGACGAATGCGATTATTTTCATTATTTGAACTGCAACACACACACACACATACACCAATAATACATATGTATTTATGTACGTATCTGCATATGCATGCATATTTCACGAATAATCAGGAAAATTATTTTAGTTTTTACCGTAATGGTAAGGGTAATGGTAATTACAATTGCCATAACTTTTACCATTACAAATACCTTTTCCTATCCCATTACTACATACTATCATTACAATTTTCATTACCATCACCAATACCAATTGATAGTATTACGATTCACATTACCTTTACCATTACGATCACCATTACCATTACTATTACCATATACATTACAATAACCAATACCAATTACCATACCATTACCATTTACAATTACAATTATCATAGTCATTACCAGGGAACGGATTTTTAGGACCTAAAAACTTATAAAAAAGGCAAAATAAAATAACGAAATAGGCTGGAAAAGGCAAAATAAAATAGCGAAAAAGGCACAAGGTGTTGCAAAAAAGGCAAAAAAAGGCAAAACAAAATAGCGAAAAAGGCAGAAAAAGGCACTAGGTATTGCAAAAAAAAAGCAAAATAAGGCACTAAAAAGACAGAAAATACGAAGAACAATCAAAAAATATATTTATTTTAGAAATGTTTATATTACAAGTAAAAAGAAAAAAACTATAAACTAGTTTCATTATATGAAAAATTTGTACTTTGAATCTTTGACTATTTTATCCTTCGAGTTTCTAACTCATAAAACTTTAATCTGTATAGTTGTAGTAACATTGAACCACAAGATGCATTTTGAAGTTTTCTGGCAGCATTTTCATTCGATTTTCGCGAAGAAAAGCCTTGAATGTACTAAACAAACAATATTCAAAAGCTTTATTTTTAATGACGCGTTTTTTTTTTTGTCTAGTTTTCTTAACTATTATAATTATTATTGTTGTTTTGCCTTTCGCTAGCGAAACTAAAACCTACGATTGTCATCGTAATAATGGCCTAAATTAAGATGACCGCATGTACATACTATAATTTTGGCAAACCACAAATTTTGGACCAACTACGCATTGTACACAGTTGTAAAGATCATTTATGCCAGACTAATAGTACACTACGCTGAAATTGTGCCACTTGCTGTGACCTACCAACCAACCGCTGTCAAACTTTAGCGCATTTATAGTCTGACCAGCGTTGGTTGAAGAACTTTTGAACTTTAGTTATGGGAAGTCATTATTAAACCAACGCCACCGCCAACCATTGGCACTGGCTACTAAAAGTACAACCATTACAAGAACAGCAGCAGCGGCAACAAAAGAGCAGCAAGCATTATGCATGCATGTAAAATTCATTTATTATCCCTCCAGTGGGTAATAAAATGCGTAAAGTTTTAAGAGGGACACATGCAGCGGCGAAATTTCGTTTGTTAGCGCTGCTGGCAGTGTTGTGATATGGTGTATTGCAAATAATTTCCCGTTACTTTGCGAGGTTAAAAGTGATGCGAATAGCAATTATGTGGTACGTAAGTATGTACATGCATATCTACATATTTATGTACATATGTATGTAGTACCGGAGAAACCAAAAATTTAAATAATTAAGGGAACACAAGATTTTTTTAATAACAAAATGTGAATAGCAAAAAATGTTGAGAAAATTCCCCCCCCCCCCCCCCCCCCAAAAAACAGTGATAGGCATACTTAAGTACTTTTATATTTACAGTACCTGTTTGGATAGTGTGTAAGCTTTATAACGACATGATGACGATGATGACATGGGTGCACACCGAATGGGCGCCCATAAACAAAATGGGAGGACCAAGTGCAGGAGGTCCTGTTTAACTCGTAAGATAAAGCCTTCTTTAAAACCATTTTAATTGATGTTCATACTGTATTAATTCAATTAACTTATTAAACAATTTGAATTTGGTTTTCTAAACAGGTGGCAACCCTCTTCAAACGCCTCAAAATTATTCTTAATGGTTAACAAAAAATGTCTTAACACTCTTTCCTTTGACACCCATATTTTATTATTTCATATAGCTAGTGTATGATTTAATTAAATGCGACTCTTTAAACAGGTGGCAGCGCTTTTAAATATATCACTATAAACCCACCTTAATACCTATATTTAATATTTCATATAGCCTGCGTATTTTATGGAATTTATATTTAAAAAAGGTGGCAACGCCCTAACAAGAACCGCAGAGTCTATTCCATGAACGAACGAATAAAGATCACCCAGCACGGCGTGTGAGAAAAAAGTTATTTTTTTGCAGTGTCGTCATTTTTTCGCCGCCATGTGAATGAAACGGAATGAAAACTGTGTGTGAATGAAAGAACCGATTAAAAAATGACGTCATCAACTATTATTTTTTTTTCTCAAATGCAATTACAAAAACACGGTTGCCGTGCTGGGTGATCTTGTTAGTTGGTTCATGAGTCTATTCTACCTTTTGCAAATTGGATAAGGAATCAAAGCGAATGGGTCTGACGGTCAACGAGGACAAGGCGAAGTATCTCCTGTCATCAAGCAAACAGTCAGCGCATTCGCGCCTTGGCACCCACGTCACTGTTGACAGTTACAATTTCGAGAAAGTAGAGCATTTCGTTTACTTGGGAACCAGCATTAACACCGATATAATGTCAGCATTGAAATCCAACGTAGAATCACTCTTGCCAACAAGAGCTACTTTGGACTGAGTAGGCAATTCAGGAGTAAAGTCCTCTCTCGACGTACGAAAACCACGCTCTATGAGTCACTCATCATGCCCGTGCTGGTATATGGCGCCGAAACATGGACAATGACAACATCCGATGAGGCGGCTCTTGGGGGTTTCCGAGAGAAAGATTTTGGGGAAGAGGAAGAGGGATATGCGTCAAACCTTCTCTGCTCCGAGACGGACTGTTTGAAACCCAATTGTTAATTTTTCGCTTACACATATGTTAGTGTTTAGCCGAGCTTCTCCTCTGATTTGTGGCGTGCACCTTGATGTTGTCACACAAAGCGGAGGGACATACAGTTTTACGCCGACTCCGAACGGCGATTGACAGGCAAAGCTCTCTTGCAGAAAAAATGCTATCTCTGCCGATCGCTGGTATACTATGTAAATTTGACTTTTGAAAGATGTGGCAAAATGTAGTTACAAACCTTCTCCTCGCCGAGGCGAACCCGAATATGCGCCTTTCCATAACCGGATATACGGTCTCGATGTCTAAAGAGTTCCAACCACGGATGCCAACGCTATTAAGGCTAATTTCCCAAATTCCTTAAAAAATTTCCCTTTTTTCGATGATATTCCCCCAAAATAAATTTTGCTATTTAAGGAACTTCAATCTCATTTTTGTTCAAAAGCAACAACTACCACTAATTATAATGAGATAACATGGGCAATCTTGTTTTAATAACAGCCAGCGGCAAAACTATGAATACCCTAACGTGTGAATATTTTATTTACTTATACTTTCCATACCCAAATTTTCTTATTTTTTTATTAAAAAAAATATAGTTCATTCAACAGCGAAAATCACAAGAATAATTTTTTAATTTCATACACAACTCTGGAAAATGCAAAAAAGACTAAAAAATTTTCATCAAAATTTTCAATTTTTCAATTCGAATTCTTAGAAAAATTTTGGTTACGCAGTTTTGTAGCGCATTACCATAATATAATGAAAGTTTCAAGTCGCTTGAAATTACCGTTGATTTTTGAGATTTCTTTTTTTTTGTCGAGGGTGTTGCGCGTTTTCTTCCATGTAACGTATGAACAAAATCTTTCTTTATATTGGTGAAAATGCCTGCAATGTCTACAAACGTCTAAAAGTCGCACTAAATTCAAGAGACGTTTTATTTGTAAATTAATTTAAAGCTACTCCCCGATTCGCCCGAGAAATTCAAATTCCACCAAAATCGGGGAACTCTCGCGCGGTTGGCCTCACTGGTTCCAACAAACCAACATCCGTATGTACAGAGACAAGTACTCAACTGAAACTTAAATCGCAAAATTGTGAAATAGGAGCTATGACTAATATTTGACGTAGCTGAGTCGACTGATTACCACATACGTACATATGTATGTATGTAGTACCAACGTGTGAATTAATTAAACAAATGTTTACAACTGACACTGCCAGTAGCAATTTGTCCAAAACGAAAAAGAAAAAAGTATGTCGCCACAAAGTGAAAACAAAGAAATGCCTTTCCAACGATTTTATGAATAAAAGAGTTCAATTAAGTGTGTGTATTCATGTAACTTCTTTATTTGTTGCAATTTTTTTTTATTTTTTATATATACATATTTTTTATTTTAAAGTAATAATTAAATAATTTTTTTTTTTTGTAATTTTTTAATTTTTTTATTTATTTTTTTTTTGTTAATTTTTTTCAAATGTAAATTTGCATAAAAAATTTAGCCGCTTACAAACCGGGAAAACTGTGCGCCCTCTGGCGATGTCCACCACCATGCCTCATGCCGAACTGATGAATACCGCTGCCAAAAGGTCCCATCGCCGGACCAAAACCATGTCCAAATCCACCTCTACGACCAGCCCATCCGCCAAATGGATGTGCGCCACCAAAATGACCATGGCCATGGCCATGGTGATCATGATGGTGATGATGATGTGGTGGGTGTGGGTGTGGGTGTGGGTGAGGGTGTGAATGTGGATGAGGTCCCATACCATGCGACATCATACCTGGAAATGCACCGAAACCGGGAAATCCCTTCATATGCCTACCTGATGGGAATCCACTCATCGCTGCCCGTTTTCCATGTGCGCCATGATGGCCCATACGACTAAAGTGATGATAAGGATGTGAACGCTCTCTGCAGCCGCCATCCTTGGAACGTCTTTGTCTGTCAACAGCCGTGCATCCACCAATTGCTGCGTCCTCACCCTCACTATCACTGGAACTGGTTGCACTATTACCTGCACCTGCTGACACGCACGAAATGGCTTCATTAAGTCGACGTTGTGCGTCTGCAGCCCGTTCTAGAGCCTTGTACAAAGCTCGCTGTCCAGCTGCACTAGGCCTAACTGTATCATTGCCTCCATTGTTTACCATTTTGCACACACACAAACACTCGTATTTGTTGGAATTTCACAACGAATCGTGCACTTATATTGCTTGCTCTGATTTCAATTGTGGATATCTTTTCGCACTCGTGTGCTCTCTTTATTTGAAAGCTTCGATGATTTGCTCTTTGGCTTGGCTCACTTCACTTTGCTTGACTAGCTTTTATACTCGTATTTCAGCGCTAGTATTTTATTTGCTTTTCCAAACTTTGAAAATTTCAAAATTTATTTTTTTATTTTCACTGCTTTCTTTTTCACTTGATCGTTGTGAAATTCCCTTTTAAATAAATGCAATGAACAGATCTTCACGGGCTATTTTTCCACTGTTGCTTTGTGTTGTCACAATAGACGCCACTCGTACACTGATATCGCTTGCTAGAGTGGGGAGTCTTTTATACTGAAGCTTTTAAAGTAAAAAAACATAAAAATGTACTGCTTAGTCATTCTCCTATCTACTCATTCACATTTTTTAGAGATTAATTACGAACTTTTGTTGGTCGGTATTCCCTGCTGGAAATTCTACGACTTCGAATTTTTGAATTTCATCACCGCTCTTACCATGGTTGGTCGGTATATAAGACAGATCTCACTTATGTATGTGGACCGAATTCGTCCATAGTGTTACTAGGTTAATCTACGACTATGCAACCGTAATGTTATGTGCCGGGACTAATTTTCAAAATCAATCCTGTCCCTTTGTCAACAAGCTGTAATATTTTCGCTCCTATGCCATTACCCTTTGTCATAACCTCCCTTATAGCGGCCTAGGCTGCAACTCTGCTGTCGACTCTATTGACAAAGCTATCTGTTGCTCGTAACGGGATTGGAACTTCCTCCATATTCACCTATTTTCTCCTTATTAAACTGATCTACCCTGTCATTATTCTTTATAAAATGGTATGACCAAGTGTATTCCCGCCATGAAAAATCTTCTCATAAAACCAGGGACCGAACATAACAGTTATTGATGAAAACTGCCATGGAAAAATTCACTCTGATGGGAATGTTCTATAACTAAATGATACATATCAATCGATTTCTTTTTTCGCTGAGACTCAAAATTGAAAATAAATTTTTATGCAAAATTGAAAGATATAGCATTTTGTTTTAATATTATAAATCCGCAATAACAATTATTTTTGAATCTTATATTATATGTCTTAGATAACAGTTATTGAGGACTTTTATTTATAAAATTCATCAATATAAATCAGTTACCGACTCTTATTTTTAAATCATTCGTATAAAAGTCATTAACATTTTTGGCAGTTAAAAAGGTGTTGGGAAACAAAAGTTTACTACGACTTATACAAATTACTTTTTTAAGTATGATTTAAAAACTAAAGGTCAGTGACTGATTTTTATTTATGACTTTTATAAATAAAAGTCATCGATAACTTTTATCTAAGAAATATAATTTAAAAATCAAAAATAACTGTTATTGGCAGATTATTTAGATAAAAATCTTAAATAATTGTTATATTGGATTTATAAAGAAAGGTAGAAATAACGGTTATTTAAGGAGTAATTAAATAAAAGTCGAAAAATAATTGCTGTAGAGCGATTTTTTTAATAAAAGTTGTAACTGTAACGGTCCCTGCATAGGAGGTCATTGTAGGTTCCTTCAATTGTGTAAGCACTCAAGAAAAAGTAAGCGCCAAATATAAATATTTTTATAAATTTTTAGTTCCTCTTCCATTTGGGAAACATTCGTGTAGAAGTGCGTTATGGTATTTGTCATGAATATTAGCATCTTTAAGCCACCCGTCGGCTCCTAGAAACTGTTTGCCTAGCAGGTGACTGTTTAAAACGAGACGGAGCTGTCTTCATCTTCACTCAGCAACGCACGGCCTCGATTAATAAGCTTAAAATAGGAATGCGATTACGCTGCACACTTTCGACATTAGCGACTGCACCCTTTCGAGTGGCATTGGAATATTCCAAGAGAATATATGTACATGTGTGTATGTGAAAGCTGCCAGTTTTCTTGTTTTGCACTCCTATCTAGCGGATTTGGGTGCTCCTACAACCATCAAAGGGCGACCGGTTTACAAGCATGTACCCTCATTGCACCTTGCACCTTTGGTGGATGCAGTATCACACAGTAGGTTTGAGTTTCACTCACACGTTGCCTACCTTTTGCCAACCGCTTACGCCTCATTACCTTCCTCTTCAGAGATGAAACTAAGCCAGAACTTAAGCCAAAGTCCTTTTCTTCCATTTTAATGCTGAAAACTTCTTGGATTTCACAAGTGTGGGTACTAGCTGGTACTATGCCTCACAAAATGCATAACATGAAAATTATGAGTAACACTTTTCCAGGCCACTTGATTCCTTCTTCTTTGATTTTATTAACCGGCGGTATCGTCCGATGGGACTGCCCCAGACTATTTTCTCAACTCAATCAAAGGCGCTGGTCTATGTAAATAAACCGCAAATTGTCTTAGCTCTCAAGAATAAAATTCGCCAAGTAATAGACCATCTAACGCCGAAAACCATAACGAACGTCACTAAACGAGTCAAAATTAACTCTGTTGGCGGCTAACTACTTATTAGTCATCGTTCACTCACTTTTACCTGTTGAGGTGTGCAATGGCTGTTTATTTTTTGTCGTTCGTACTTACATATACATAAACCAATTACGCGTACTTACTCCGTTTTTATAAAGGGAGAATGAATTTCGCCGTATTAAATGCATAGAGGTGTTGATTGTGAAAAATTGCCAAACTGCGTATAGAAAATTGCGCGTAATTTCACAATCCATACTAAGCATCGTTCGAGTGGTTGCTCTATTTTATGATTGTTCTAGCGATAATGTCATGAAAATCAACATTTTTTACTCTGAGTCATCTTAATAATGGGCCTGCCATTTGGGCTATAATTCAAACCATGTGGCTTACTTTTTTCCGAGAGCACATGCGTCACTAGTCTATGCATAAAAAAAATATACCGATTGTTGTGATTGAAGGGGGGATCCACCGAATTTGCCCTGAAACGTCTATATAAAACAGTGATGGGCACCGCCTTGCCCGCGGGCAAAGCTCTTTTAAACTTTCCATACATTTTGTATAGGCGCGCATAGAGTAAAAGCTCTCTCTGCGCATCACTGATATAAAACGATATTGCACAAAATGTAGCACAGAGCTTTTTAAGCTTATATACACACATTTAATATCAACGATAATCAAAACATATAAACTCGAACAGAGCTTCTTAAAGCTTCATATAACGTTTTATATGGGCATGCGCTGGGTAAAAGTTCGCCCTAGTCGGGGAAAATGCTCCGTGACTTCACTATGATTCATAATATAAATTTTGTATCACAAACCTTGGCACAAGAGACTATAAAAGTTGTATACGAGTTTTATTGGAACAGTATAAAAGCTCTCTCTGGCCAACACTGATGAATTACTGATTAGTCGACTCGTAACCTCTAGTTTTCAAGCAAATGGTTACAAAGTTTTGAAGTTTATGGATCAGCGACAGAGATTTACTCTGGAGTGGAGTTGAACAATTTAAAAGCAGTTGTGTTATAAAGTGTAATTTAAAATTGCAATGTTTGGTTTTAAAATGGTGTGGTCATATTTAATGTATGTAATTTATGTAATTTTGTTTCTATTTTTTACTTTGTTAAAAAAGTATAATAAACAAAAATTTGTCGAAATTTTTTGACCGAAATGACGATTTTTTCAGGGTAAAATTACGATTTTTCAGCGAAAGCTTCCAGCAACGCTGATCGTAAGTCCAACTCCAGTTACGCTGACCACAGTATTTTACTGAAAAGGTGTTCCTCGCAAAAATAATGTGGTCAGCGTAGCTGGAGTTGAACTTATGAGGGGCTATTTCTTGATGAAAAAATTACATCGCCGTCGAAGTCAACAAGCATAATAGGGAATATTAGAACAAAATCAGCATACAGATGGTGCTTTTTAAAAAGTGGCATAACTCCACTGCTTTTGGTACTAACACTTTCAAATTTTTAGCGAAGATATATTTTAATATGTCGTACCGAAATCTGTGAAAAACGCAGTTTCTAAAAAAGTGTTGGTTAGGGCCTTTATGAATTAAGGTGACGATATGTACATTTTATATCAACGAGGACCAATGCATAGCTCCCGAACAGAACTTTTCAAAGCTTTTAGTTGGTTTGATATGGTCGTGCACAAGGCTAAAAGATCACTCTAATCGTAGCTGTTTCACATACTACAATGTAGTAGGGGTTAATGTTATCTCAGAGACGTGGACGATTAAAAGCCCAACGAGCTGCTTTGTGGTAGAGCGACCCGAATGGTAATCCGAAGTTTTTTTATGTAAGGTGCTGGCATAATTGCACCACAGGTAATTAGTAGGGGTATTCTCGATCCGGTGCATACTGCCTAGCATGGAGGATAGATAGCATAAATAGCATGATTGGCTAATTTTGTTGTTGTTTGAACACATGAAACAACAACAATCATGCTATTTATGCTATCTATCCTCCATGCTAGAGAGTATGCACCGGATCGTGACAACCCCTAGTGTGAGTTTCACTTCTCTCTTGAATATACATATGCTTCATTTCAAGTCAAAATCTTCGCACTCCTTAAGGTTATGGACTACATACATGTGTGGATAAAAATATTAAAATACTAAGCATGGAGTCACGTGAATTTTGTGCCATTCATAGTACATTTTAGGTTGTGGCGAACCCTCGAATCACTTCAAGTTCGATATTGCCAGTTTCGGTTGAGTTATGTTAGTTGAGCTTAGTTTATACTAACACCCCACTGTATTACCGAATAATCATAATCAGAGACATCTATAGTTTGAATTTTGAATGAAATAATTCATATCATATTCTGTAGACTTATTGTCATATTAAATTTCATACATTGTTTATAATAAGTATTGTTAAAATGTTAAAATCAAAACTTTTCGACACAAATTAGGGTTGCCAGATCTTGTATGCGCGAAATCAGTACATTCGACTTTTTCATGCTAAAAAAATCA